TCGGTTAACAAAATTGAACGAATATTAATCGGATATACAGATTTTATTCGTATACACGAATAACCGAACGGATATCCGGCTATACGGCTAGTCTCAGCGCTACAATAACACGAAGTAAGCTGTGCGAGTTCATTCACAACCAAAACAACGAGTTCAGCGCGCGTGAAAGTCGTTAAAAGTTGTATATTCCTCACTTGGGATAACTATACAGTAACTACCAATTATATGCATTTTTATGGTTTATTTTTATTTTTGTTTAATAAAATCTAGCGGTATTTATATGCAAACTTTTTTTCCCCCAAAACTGCACGTTTTGTCAACTTAAAGCTTCCGCGTAAATATGCAAACTGTCAAGCTAATAATTATTTTCGAGAAATAATATTTTTTCAATGTTATTTGTTTATTTTTAATTATTGTTATTTTGCATTCGTCAGTTGCTTATTTTTCTTCTATGTATACTTATTTGTTTGCTTTACCGCCGCCGTTTCATTTTCATTTTCATTCATATTTTTCTGCATTTACTTAAATTTAATTACTAAATTTATTTATTTTTGTTTTTCCTCTTTTCGCAGGGCTGCTGTCGTCACGTCCATTTTGCTTTCTCTCGCAACGAGTCAGAAAAATCGCTTGAATGCGCATTTGTTTTGACCGGCTGTGCTTCGCTACCAAGAGGCCAGCCAATACAGAGCACAGTGATAGTGAATCGCCGCATTCCCTACCGCCCGATCGGTTACAGAACAATAATGAGCAAAGCAACAAGCTGAATGTCATAACGACCAAACCGCCAGCGAGTAATATACACAGCTTACAACCCGCCCAACTCACAATTGCACCTTGGCTAGTTAGCAACTACAGCAGCAATAGCACAAGTAACGGTAATAGTCATACAAAGAAGAATACCACTGCACCCTTTGGGCCACGCACAACACTCAACGGTCTAGATCCGCCGAGCCGTGCCGTCCCGATATCATCGACAAATCTTAACGGCACACAAACTGCAACTGCTACACCAACACCGCCACCCCCACCTCCCACCAACGGCAACAACGCCCTATACGCAAATTTAGCCGATTTAGCGAGTAGTACGTCAACAGCAATTACAGATTCTTTGGCGGCATCCAGCGCAACGCGCCAAACGTCAACAGTCATTATTGGGAAAAAATCAACAACCACAAATAGCTGCGGTGCGCGCGAAGACGAGGAATATAGTCAATTTAATAATAGCACAGACAGTGGCATTGGCAGCAGTTTAAGAGGCAGCAGCAGCCGCCACAACAGACAGCGCCTAGCGAAAACAAACAACGACGCGAGCGCACCCAGCGAAAACGAGGTGCGAGAAAGAAGCTTCTCCGACGCGCATTTCGACCCGAAAGCCTCCACAGCCACCTCCACAATCAGCGCCGCCACCAACGTATCCACCGTGAGTAGCGTTGCGTTTCTGCGTCACGGTGCGGACAACGTCACGGCCAACGGCATTATCGCTAGCAAAGATACGAGTACAGCATACAAAGACACCGCAACGTGCGCACAGCCAAAAGCAGCGTCAGCGGAAGAGATAGAGACAAACGGCGAGCAATCGACGAACAAAATAGCCGCCACCATGCAGCAGGAGCCGAACGCCAATTTTCAGTTCCAACCCGATCTGGGACTGGTGAACAGCAATAATTTGCCCGCGCTCACCGGACTCGGCAGTCAAACGGGCGCGATACGTACCCTTACGCTACCACTGCAGCAAGACGTGATCGCACAAACTTTCATATACGGTACGGTACCCTCGTCCGCTGCACAACACATCAACTCACTGCAACAACAGGAGCTGCAATTGCAACATCGCTATCATCAGCTGCAACAATTGCAGGCCCAGACACAGGGTCTATTCCTGAATACGAACGCACCGGGTACAGTTGCAGCTGCGGCTGCTGCAGCTGCCGTGGCGCAAGGTGGTACACCCTTTGTAGTAGGCACACCGCCACAACTTTACACCAATACGCCCACAGCGGCGGCTGAGTTTTGTGCAGCGCAACAACAAAAATTGCTAAGCGATCAAATGCAAGGACTTTGTATAGCGGGCGGTGCGGCTGCCACGCCCAATGCCAACGCGGTGCCGGCGGCATCGACGACCATAAACTCGCTGCTCGACTCCTCAGCCACAATGAATATACTGAATAATAGTTATGTGCCAACGACGCCGCAAGAGGAACGCTTCATGCAGATTATTCAGGCGAAAGAGATGAAAATACAGGAAATGCAGCGCGCGCTGCAGCAAAAGGATACGGAGATCGCCGAGCTGAAATCGCATCTGGATAAATTTCAAAGTGTATTTCCATTTAGTCGTCATGCCAGTACGGCCACCACACCGGGCGCTGGAGTGCAGCAACAGCGGAAAAGTGGTCAGGCTTATCAGCGACAGCGGGCGCAAGGTATTTCGGCGGAACCGCAAAGTGAATCTTCAGTTTTGTTGGAGCCAGGCGCGTTGCCGAAATACGATAAGGATGAGAGGTGAGTGGAGATGTGAATATTATATAAAAGATATAGGTTGAGTACTCTCCTGAGTTTGAGACTGTTTTTAAGTGAAATTTCTACGATTATTGACTTATATGAATTTTTGTACTCAATTCACTGCCAGCGCCTGGCTACTAAAAGTTTACCACTGAATGATGAATACATTAATTTAACACTTGTGACTCGATATGCCTTCATCCACAACCCGGATGTGCATAGGTATCCCTGCGTCGAAATGTTTTTTTATGATAAAAATATTTGGATCTCACTGACCATTCTACTAGAAGTAGTACCAATCAGTTTCTCAGCCTTCTCAGGCAACTGTCTGTGAACTCATCACAGTCTTTTGAAAGACAAACGTCTTTCGTAAGACAATTGTCAATTCTGGTGACTATCTTGAAAGCTCTTTACTGTCTTTCGAAAGACTTATTAAAAGATTTGCTAGCGAGGAGGTCTTGCGTTATTTTGTATGTCATTTACTAATAAGTTTTTTAAAAATTAAATTAAATTTCAAAAAATATATTTTTGTTTAAACAAAAAAAATGAATTAAAAAAAATATTTTTTTTCTTTTTAAAACAAGAAAATTCAAAAATTAAATAAGAAAAAGAAAAAAATTAAATGAAAAAGGAAGAGAATAGGACTTAAAAATTTAATACAAGTAAAAACAAAATATTTTTATTCTAAAAACAAATCTAAAAATTATTACTAATTAATATTTTTTTTTTTTTTTATTGAGCTTTGTACCACGATTGTTTATTAGGAGATGTGGTGATCTCCGAAATAGTGCTATAACTTCTACCGCTTAGACTTTGTTGCTTTTTCAATTTTTCCTAATAAACAATCGTG